AAAAGTTGACCACAGCAAAACAGTGCTATTTGAAGCAATTGGTTAACATAATTGTAATGGCCAGCCTAAAACGGCATCTAGCGGACTGTAGTTCATTTGTTAAGTCGCTATTACATTTTTCTTCGATGGCTGCACTGGGAGAGCATCCTGGAACACTTGGTGATTGGGAAAAATAATGCACTGGGAATCATTGAACATTCTATATTATCAAAAGGGTCGGTAAGAAGTTAGTGACACGTGGCAACACTGCCAAAACATGCCGGTTTTGCAGGCAAACGATTTATGTTATCTTTTACAATTATTCAATAGAGAGGAAAGGGGAAATAAACAAAAAAAAAGAACCTGTGCAGGCTCTGCACCTGTAGGTGGGCTTTCTGCTTAAAACTAGCACTTTTTACACTGATTTGCTGACATACGCACTAAGGCGGGAAACCCACACTCACTTGATGTAGAGAATTTACGTAGTTTCTTAATGTCGCGACTCGCGGGCCGATAATCCCGGGTCGAGTCCGTTAAGGGTGTGTTGCAAAGGCACTACTTTCCGCGTATGCAATAAATGCAGACTTTTTCTGCTCGAGCAGGGGAGGCGCGTTTCATCACAAAGTGTTAGAAATCTACTCTCGTCTTTTCACGTTGAGTGTTAAAGACGCACTGACTCTATTCCCGCGCTGACACGCCTTAAACCCTTTCGTTTGGCAAATAAGGGAGCTTGATTATGGAGGGATTATTCTAATTATTCTTATTTATTATTATTTATGTGAGTTGTTTATTATTTTAACTATTAGAATTATTTATTAGGGCTTGTGCATTGTTATTGTTTATTTTTAGGCGTTGGTTTTTTATTATTTATGAAATAAAAGTGTATAACGTGTTCAGCCTTCGGCTGTTTCCGTTGTATATATTTCTTGTGGGTTGTCAAACGTGCTGTTTGACATAGCGGTTTGAATTCAAATTCAAACAATAATCATGAAGAAGCGAAGAATTTAACAATTAAGGTAATTATTAAGATCATATTTAGATAATTATAATTAAATATTACATACATATGTTGTTACGTTTGATTTTGGTGTCACTTAGCTTGTACAAAAATAGAAAAACATTTTTGACATTAATGCAATGTAATGTTCAATAAAATTCAAGAAGATAAACAAATATTTTAAGCATAAATTTTAAACTCCAATATGAAAAGCCCTATTTTTCTATCTAATTTATGAATCTTTTATTTATTTTTTTCAGAAAATCCAAAACAGTTCTAAAAGGAAAGCAGTGGAAGATATTTCTGTTCGTCCAAACAAAATTATCAATTTGGAAATGCAATATTCCGCTCCAGAAAAAACTACTTCCGCCTCTCCCAAAAAATATCAACGAAGTATTTGAAGCATTAGAAAAAATGGATATACAAACATCGACAGGAGAAAAATTTTTAACTTCGGCAGACAAGGACAAGAGAATTATTATCTTTAGCACCAAAAGAAATTTACAATTTCTTTGTTATGGAACTTTTAATTATTTTTTGCAATTTTTTACGCAATTCTTCACAATACATGCTGTCAGAAATGGGCATTACATTCCACTAGGTTTTGCGTTAGTTAAAAACAAAAAAGTTGAGAATTACGAAGAAGTCTCCCGATCGATAATAGATGAATACGAAGAAGATAACATTTCTATTACTCCACCTGTGTATTGCACGGGTTGTATGGCCCAACATTACAATAATTGGATGCAGGTTCCACATTTTGCAAGCTTGGATGCGAAAAATTCAAAACCTTGGACTTAAAGGAGAATACACCAACACAGAGAGCGAAATGGTTAAGTTGGACATTTGGCCTCATCTTTCTGGAAAACATCGAAGTCGTTAGTTGTTTTGTAGAAGACCTCATAGCTACACTTCCAGCTGACCTTAGAGTTACAGCTTCCTGTGATTATTTAACGGACCATTACATCAGTGAGTCAGCAAGATTTCCACCAGAAATATGGGCTTCATGTGTTCAGCTAGTAGAGAAAGAAGTACCAACGCATGTGAGTCGTTTCATAGCCACTTTAACGCTAAATTTTATTGTACTCATCTAAATATATTTGTATTTTTAAACGAATTGAAAAGTGTCCAAACACAAACCTTAATTAAATTAAATTTTGAAAACAAAATTAGAAAGAAATGTTTAGAATATATTTCAAATTTAATCAACTTTTATAAAAGAAAAAAATATTTCTAGGATTGCTTTTATACAAACTGTAAGTTATAAAGTGTGACAATAAATATTATTTTTAAATTATTTGTTTGCTTTTATTGAAACAAATCCCATTAGAATTACATTTTGAATTAATATATTTATTTAAAACAAAAATAATTTAAAATTTCATTAAAGACATATATTTAGATGTGTTAAATAACTAAATTTAGTTCCTTCCGCTTTGCGCTCAATCATAACATACCATTTTAAATCCTTGTGCTCAATCCGATTATAAGATCCATGCTGGGATCCCAAGTTTTGCGCTCAATCGGCATTTGCCCGTTGCTGCCAGTCTGGATGGAATTTAAAACAAAAACAAAACTCTATGATAGAATTAAAAAGTCTATATGGAGCTAGAGTGAAGGAATATGCAGTGGAAAAATAACTTTTTGGGAAAAGAACAATACCATTAAGGACAACCACAAAAGGTATTTTCAAATTCAGGGCTAGCTGAATATTTAAGATACGTTTTTTCCTTTTGTTTATTTATTACTATAAACGGTGTTTGCTCGTTTCATCCGTTCCCGTTTCGTCCGCTAATAAAATTATACCTCTTTTGACCCTACTTAATGAGTTATCTTTTCGTCCGCTAGACATAATTTCATTAATATTTAATTTTTTCAAGTCTATAATTGTTTACAAAGGTAAGAATACAAATAATATGATTATAGGTAGTTGCTTGAATTTAACGTTAATCTGAAAATCTATCAATGCACAAAATTTTAAATTTTTTTGATAATATATTTTGGAAAATAGGAGTGACTAAGGCCCTATCGCAATATGATTAAAACAAAATTAAACTATTACTACTTAATGGTTTCGATTATTTCTTAATGTTCTAAAAAACAATCCCGGTAATGATTAAACCTTATTATTACTACAATTTTCAACATATTAACTACTTAATTACCTAAATTTACTGAGAAAAAATCTAATTATTAGATATATTACGATGGGTTATATTGAAAAATATTTAAATATTAACTTAATAATAATAATAATTGCTCTCACTAAGGAGGATTAATGTAATTTAGAAAAATATAAGTGAGTTCATTCAAAAATAACGTATCATTTGATATTGCGTTAGTGTTGAATACTGTATTTATTGTGTGATTTAAAAATGGAGCTCATTGAATCTAAGAGAGGTAAGCCTGTAATTTTATATTTGGAGCATAAATATAATAAGAAAGAAATTTACAAAAATACGCAAATTTTGCGGGGCTGTTCGAACAGAAGTTGTACCGGTCAGTAACTACGAATAATGATATGATAACACTTTTAAAATGTAAAGAGCATTCCTTTTGTGCACCTTACATAGCTCAGAATGAAGTGTAAGTTTGCATTTTTAATGCCAAAAAAACAGCACGCGAAGAATGTGGTCCTGTTACACGCGGGCAAATAAAAAAAGGAAAAGGGCGTCGCACGATTCTTTTACCTCAACTTGAACAGACGTTTGCCACCGGACTGAGGTGCTACACCTTGTGGGACAATATATGAAATCAAATAATTTACCAACCCTCTTCAAAAATCAGTCACTAGGATAGGACTGGTTTATTGGATTTAAAAAAACGACATAGCTTAAGCATAAAAAATCCAGAAAAAATGGAGTACGCCAGGCAAGAAGCTGCAGATCCTTTAGCAATTTTTGAATATTTTGATCTTTTCGAATCAACATTAGACAACCTTCAAATTAGAGACAAGCCATCTAATATTTGGAATCTTGACGAATCCAATCTGTGTATTGATCCTACCAAGACCCGTGTTGTGGGGGAAAAGGGAAAATCTGCAACCAGAATTACTAGTGGTCCAGGGAGGGAAAACACAACAATTTTATTAATGGCGAATGCTGCAGGCGAAAAGGCTCCGCCACTAATTATCTATAAAGGTCTACGCATGTAGGATCAATGGTGTCCTCCGCAAGGATCTGGTTACCCTGGAACTGTTTGCGCGGCATCAAAAAAGGGGGATGGAGACAAATATATTTAAAAACTATTTTCAGCGCATTGTTTTACCAACTCTGGGTGAAAATCGTCCTGCTATTATCATATATGATGGACATTCGACTCATATTAGCCCTGAGGTAATATAGTTAGCAATTCGAGAAAACTTCTTAAATTCTTAAATTACCCCAGCACAGCAGCCATTTGCCTCAACCGTTAGACTTGTCAGTATTCAAGACTTTTAAAGACAAATGGAATGAAAAACTAGTATTATGGCAACGCCAAATTATTGGACGTAAGCTACCAAAATCTCTATTTTCAAAGTTTTTAGGGGACACCTGAGGTGATACAGAATGGTATTATAAAAGGAGGAATATACCCATTTGACAAAACAGCCATACCAGATGAAAAATTTTGTCCAGAGGCATTACATCGTTGGCACATAGTGAAAATAAACCACGGAACCAATTCTGATAAACATAAAACATCCAGATTATAGGATTTGTTAATGAAACAAGTAATTTAGCTTCAAATGCAGAACCACTGCCGTCAACGTCGTCTACTGAAGATACCATCAAAGATGGAGCAAAAAACTTTGAAACATTGCTATTGGAAATGATCAAGCAAAGCCCTCGACGAGAAAGTGTACGGCGCCAGAGAGTAGGTACATATTCAGAAGTCTTAACGTCTCAAGATGTGTTAGAGCATCTACAAATTAAGAGGGCAAACAACTCAAAAAACAAAACACAGTTAATCAAGGTGCCGCAAGAAGGAATATATTAGTAGCAATGATAAGGACGGAAGAAATAAAATACAAAAAAATCAGATAATGAATAGGAGTTTTTACCAGAATATAGTGCAAGAAAGGGAAATTCAGGACAGAGAAGAAAACGAACTAAATCAAGAAGTAAAGCAAATGAAATGGGTTTTAGTAAAGTACACGTCAAAAAAGAACACGAAGCACTATGTTGGCCGTGTAACACGACGTGTGGAAGACGAATGGAAAGTAAAATTTTTAAAACGAATGTCAACTAAACGACAAGATACGATAAGATTTGATTGGCCTCCTACAGACGATATTGATACGGTAAACGAAGCAGATATTGCATTGACTTTGCCAGAACCACTTGAATATAGAAGAGGGTTACTGTATTTTAATATCTTGTTTGATGGATTTAATATTTAAAATGTTTCTTATAAACATCTTCTGTAACTTGAATGTTTTATGTCTTACAATTTAAACAACTTACTTAGTTATTTCATGTCAAAATTTTAGTTAACACCTCAAGATGTATATGTTAATTTTATATTTCAGTATTTTACTTGAGGTTTAGCAGCTAAAATATTTAATAAATCAGCTTTTTTAGATGGCATTTGGAAGGGTTGCTATTTTTAAGGAAAAGAGTTTGTTGGAGGTTTTTCTGTCGTCTGTGTAATAAATTTTCGATTTTTCTCTCTAATTTTGTGTTTTAATAAATGCCATTTCTTTACACGTATTTGTTGAAAAGCTTGTTGCTTTCTTAAATATTAACCGATTTAAATAATTTTTGAACATAATTTTTCGTAATATATTTTTCTTTTACATTTATCTCTTTCCAATAATACAACGTTTATCCGCACCTGAAGCTCAAGTGTTACATTTACCCCTTTTTCAGGGGCAAATGCATGCTAACATCATTTTAAAAAATATATTCTAAAAACAAAACAGAGATACATTGAATAAATATACTTTTATTTATTTTTTTTTGTCGGGTGGAAATCCTTTACGGACACCAGGTATAGGTTTCTCCTTTCCCTGGTAGTGTGGTGGACTCCTGGCTCAAGTGTGCAAGTCCAGTGTACCCCACTAAAACCACCTCACGCTCCACAGGTATCGGAAATGTCCTCCAGAGGATATTACTTTATGTACCTGCTGCGGTCTTCTATTTTCAGTTCTGTCTTGCTTTGTACTCCCATTCTTCCCTCTCTTTCTCGGCCATTAACCTCGCTATTATTTTAGAACCAGATTGCCATTTCTCCTTACTCTCTATGAGCTTTTCTATAATATTCTCCGGAGTTAACGGAGGTTCTAGAGTGGATACAAGTGCCCTTCTTTCCTGCTGCCATCTGATGCACTGAAAAAATGTGTGTTCCACCGAGTCTACTTTTTGACAGTATCTGCACCGGTGATTATTTGAGAGTTTAAACCTGAAAGTGTATTCGCCGAAAGAACCGTGTCCCGACAGAAATTGCGAAATACAGTAGTTCGTGTTTGTGTATGAACATTTTAGCCACTGTTCAATATTAAGAATCAGTTTTTTTGTCCAGGATGCCTTCAGGTTATTTGCTTCCCATCTGTCCTGCCACATTCTTGAGCTTTCTGTTCTTTCTGTGTTCCTTATCTCACTTGTCGGTTCTCTGTTGTGTAGTCTTCCCCTTTCATTCACCAGAATATCAATAGGGATGCATCCTGTGATGACCTGTAGAGCCTCTGCAGATACGGTGCGGTAAGCCGACGCTACTCTGAGTAGCATTTTCCGCTGTACTTTGAGAAGTAGGCCCCTGTACTTTTCTACGTACATTGCTCCTTTTCAAATCGGTGCTGCGTACAGCACTGCTGATTGCATGACGCCATTTAACAACGCCCTCTTTAGTCCACTGGGTCCATCCACGTTAGGCATTATTTAAGATAGGGCTGCTATCTCTTTTTTGACTCTAATTGCAGCATTTTTGACATGTGTTCCAAAAGTCAGTCGTTCATCTAGCCACACTCCCAAATATTTTACTTCCATGCTTGGGGTGATTGTTCTGCCTCCTAGTTGAAATCCTATTCCTGTCCTATTTCTTTTTGCCCTGACTACGACCGCTTCTGTTTTCTCTGGGGCTAGAGTAAGATTGTTATTGGTCATCTATTCTTCAATACGTCTTAGCGCAGAGTTTACAATATGTGTTAGATCGTGTTTTGAGTTTGCGCCTACCACCAGAGCAAGGTCATCTGCATATGCCACTGTCCTAGAGCTTTCTCCTAACTCCAGTCTGAGTACTCCATCGTAGAGAACATTCCACAAAGTTGGGCCTAAGACAGATCCCTGTGGGACTCCTTGTGTGGCTTGCAGCTGCTGTCGTCCTATTTTTAGAGTTCTATCACTTAGATAACTTGCTATGATATTGATGATGTACTGACTAATACCAATCTCTTGAAGCCTCTCGATTATCCTACTGCATACGGCTGTGTTAAATGCGTTCTTAACATCAATTAGGATAATGGCGCTCCAGGAATAACAAATCTGCTGCATATGCAGTAACTTGGTTAATGGCGTCGACGGTCGATCTCTTTTTCCTAAAACCGAATTGGGTACCTGAAAGCCATTGTTTCTCCTCCAGTTCATCTTCCAGTGTCTTTCTGATGAGTTCTGATAAGTTTCTCTGCTCTGAATAAATATACTACTATAAATACATTTATAGATAGTTATACTTAACAAGGAAAATTGGCAGATTTTATGCTTAATATTCAATATTTTTAAGATACCTATGAAATGTAACTATTCGAAAAACCTGTTGCATTTACCCCAGCTTACCTTAAATAAAATAATAAACAAATATTAACTTGGTTTATGTAATAACTAACAGTAACTATTTTAACATTAATATAAAATGATTTTGTATCCTACGGCAATATACAGGATGTAACAAAAATTTAGATCAATATGGTTTAAATAACTATACCAAATATTCTGAAATATTACGAGGATATTCATTTAAAATGAGGACAATATTAATCATTTTCAATATATCCATAATTTAAAATAATTTATTAGATTTCCGTAAGGAACACTTTGAGAAAACACGCTCACAAACTACTAGAATTCCCTGAATTGATATAATATACTTGAAGGGATAATAATGTTATCCTTAATAAATAAATAAAAAATATAATAACCAATTTTCCTTGCAAGTCGGGAAAAAGGCAATCTATAAAGTTAATCATAGGAAAATTATCTTAAATACACAGAATTTCACATTACCGTCATCCAGTTCCGACCCTGTCGAAAACAGATTTTTTCTTTTTTTTTTCTTTGCTTGGTTTTCTTAATTTAGCTCCAGACTATTCGGAAAAATTTTATTGAGGTTTTGTGAGGGTTGAAGCCTGCTTGAAATAGGTATCTACTCCTTTATTTAATGTTAAAAATTGTTTTGGAATTGTTTCTTTAAAAATTAGCAAACAAATTAAACGTTATGAGATTTGTTTTATGTTTTCCTTAATTGGTAAAAGTTTAATTTTAATTTAGTTTTTAAAGGGGTTATGAAGATCGGAATTTTTAAAAGTATTCGCATACTTATGAATATTTCTGTATCCAAATTGACTAAGTTATGGCAAGAAGGGTGCGTAATTAAATTTGAAACGCCATAAAATTTCATTACCAGGAACAAAAAATCTTATGTGTCCAACATATAACTTTTCTATCTAGTTATTATAGGCTTTTTCCGGTTATTTTGTAGTACCTATTGCAGCACCTCTATAAATGTTTAGAGGATAAACCAAATATATACATTTTCCACATACATCTACCTCGAAACATTTTTCTATAGATATTCATTGAAAATGAAAATACTGAAAAATTAAAATTTAGCACTTTTTCTACAATTTTCTATTACAAAAATTATAGATATCGATATCGCAAACAACTTTTGGTTCAACAATTTTCATAAAAATCAGAATTTTGCACATATTTTCAAATTTTTCGAATACGGACCATTTCAGGAAATTTTGACAAAAAAATTATATAGATAATAATATTAGAAGTAACTTTTATTTGAACAATTTTCTTCTCCAAACATAAATAACAAGATATATTCCATAAAATATAAAAACTGCCTCCCATAGAGTACCCCCCCCCAGATGTTCCGACTTTGTCCAAAATTTTATCACATCTCACGTCAGGACGAAATAAAACTTAAGTTTAAAATTTATTTTTTTTCCTTTATCCGTTTTTGTGTTTTCTTTAAAATTCGAAATTTACACATTTTCTCAAATATCTCGAATACGGTCCATTTAAGAGAAATTATGTATAAAAAAACAATTATAGAGAATTACAAACAACTTTTATTTGAACCATTTTTTATAAAAAAAATTTTTTGCATTTGACAAATTTTCTGAATACAGACCATTTTAAAAAAAAATTGTATCAAAAAAATTATAGATAATATTAAAAGTAACTTTTATTTCAAGAATTTTCTTCTCCAAACGTAAATAACAGATATATTCCATAAAATATAAAAATGACCACTTATAAAGTACCCCCAGATGTTTCGACTCTGCTCAAAATCTAATCAGTTTATTGGACGCCGGAATAAAGCTTAAGTTTAAAATTTGGTAATTTTATGTATATCGGTTCATGAGATATGGTGAATACACACACACACACACACTAACACGCACGCACGCACGCGCGCACACACACACACACACACGCACACGCATACGAACACGCACACGCACACACACATACACACACATACACACACACACATACATACACACACATACATACACACACACACACAAAAACACGCACACACACACACACACACACACACACACACACACGCACATACGCACACACACGCACACACACGCACACCCACAAACACAAACACACACGCGCGCGCTCGCCCACACACAAACACACAAACACACACACACACGCGCACACACAAACGCACACATATACACACAAACACACACAAACACACGCGCGCACACACACAAACACATACACATACAAACACATCACACACAAACACACACACACGCACGCGCACACGCACGTACGCGCGATACCACGCACGCACACATGCACGCACGCACACCCGCACACACGCACACACGCACACACGCTAACACGCTAACACGCTAACACGCTAACACGCTAACACGCTAACACGCTAACACGCTAACACGCTAACACGCTAACACGCTAGCACACACAAACACAAACACAAACACAAACACAAACACAAACACAAACACAAACACAAACACAAACACAAACACAAACACAAACACAAACACAAACACAAACACAAACACAAACACAAACACAAACACAAACACAAACACAAACACAAACACAAACACAAACACAAACACAAACACAAACACAAACACAAACACAAACACAAACACAAACACAAACACAAACACAA